GATATGATTGCCATTTAATCTATATATTCGAGCAGACAGAAATATAAATCTGTATTTACAACCTAATAATATTATGCATGTGTATGTGCGTGTATTTGTTTGCGTATCCATTCGTCTGTGTATCTGTTTGCGTATATATTTATATGTGTATGTGGGTGAGGCTAGGGCCAAATTTTTTTTCGTATTTTTCTAATGAGGCATGACGCTGTGCACATGTTAGTACTTCGTATGTCCATTCCACGAAGTCGTTCCTTGCAGATTGACCACAGATTCTCGATTGGATATATTCCAAAAGAGTATCCGCGTCTTTTTCGGTGATGAATGATTACCCATCCTACAACCCGTTTCCCATAGTCGAATATTTCTTCTCTATCGCGATTTCCATCGAAAGTATTAACATGAAATACATTCCTTTGTTCCATCTGTTCTAACATTCACAGATAAGACCGGCCACGCCACGTGCATTGTCCTGAACCACTCTCATTTCTTTCCTATGGGTGCTGATCTCGAAAAGGACCTCCATTTTGTGGTTGACTGGGACAGGAAATGGCTTGTAAACTTTACTGCCACCAAAACGAAAAGGCTCTTATTTACCTATCACAGAGAACCCTCAATGCCTCCCATCTAAATGGCTGATGCCCAACTCCTCGAGAGTGTATCGTTACGCCTCATTGGTCTCACGCTGTCCTGTAACATGAGGTGGAATAAATACATTGAATCAATAGCTTCATCTACCTCAAGGAATGTTGGTTCCGTGTGGTGTCGGAAAATTTTTTCTCGTCTGAGAAATCTATTCATCAACCATCCGTCCTTGAATGGAATATTGCTCTCATATATGGACTGGTGCTCCCGCTCTACGTCTCGAGATCATTGACAAAATCCAGAGACAAGTATGCAAGATGATAGGTCATGATCTGGCATCTAGAATACAATCACTATCCCACTGACGTGCTGTGGCTTCCCTCTGCCTTTTCTACAAGTATTTTCACGGCAACTGTTATGACGAGCTACTTTCGCCGGTTCCCTGACTGCATGAATTTAAACGAGCTACCACGCTGCCATCTTTTCCCCACCCTTTCACTGTCAAAACGGTTAAATGCAACCATCTCTTCTACTCCAACAGCTTCTTCTTCCACACTTCCCGTCTGTGGAACTCCCTGCCACTTACTTGCTTCCCCGATGGCTATACTCTTCAAATATTCAGTGTAATGTAAATCGACATCTGACACCCAGAGCTTGTTCCCCGTCCTTCTTTGTATCTTTTCAATAAACATGCTTCTTTACTTTTGTTTTCAATCCTCTGTAACCCCATGCGTACTAGAGACACTCCCGTCTTGCTTCGGGTGAATTGTCTAAAAACAAAACAAAAAAAAAATCACCATGGATTATGCATAAATTCTTCCATGTTTTAGTCTAAAGACGAATAAATTTTTATGGTAAGAAGTTAAATATAAAGCTAGAGAAAAGAATTAGTCTCCACAACTGAAATATAAAAGCTGCATTTAAATCGAGATTTTTAAGGTAGACACCGTCGATTCGGACTTTTGGTAGATTTAATCTAATCTAGCCAAATCTTCACCAGGGATTATACATAATTTTTTCTCCACCTTAGTCTAGAAATAAACAATTCTTATGGTAAGATGTTACATCTCAATCTAAAGAAAAATGAATTAGTCCCCCACATTTGACCTATAAAATCTGTATTTATATCAAGATTTTGAACGTCACCGTCGAATCTGACTTTTGGGAGATTTATTGGCTTTAAACAGATATATATATATATATATATATATATATATATATATATATATATATATATATAATCATACTCGTTTCGAAAAACCTTCGAATTTTTGATTTGCCAATAATCAAATCAATCTCGAAGGAAAAAAGGTTTTAAAAAAAGAAAGAGTCAGGAACATGAAAGACTGTCGAAAAAATCGCACAGATACAGGTTTAAACAACTAACTAACAAAAGATCTCAATACAACCGTAGAGCAGACCTAGATAAACCTAGTGAGCCAGACAAACCTACCTAGGTTTCACCCAAACGGATCGTCAGAGAAAGCCAGCATTCCCTGACCATCCGCTTAGGAGAAACCTGGTTGGGTTTGTCTGGATCACTAGGTTTGATGATATATATATATATATATATATATATATATATATATATATATATATATATATATATATATATATATGAGATCCAAATTCTATTCGAATAACTTCTTCAAATGAATCGCTTCATTTTAGATTCCGTGATCACTACAATGTTAATCTATTCAAGTCTAGCGTTAACCATTGTCTTCCTCTCCTATCTGCATAAACCGTTCCTCTATAATCTATAACCCTATAACTGGAGTGGCTCTTGGGCCTTGTACAGGATGAACATCATTACATCTAGAAAATCTTGGTAGAATTCTTTATATTATTCGGACTATCATCCTCATCTTTGTTGCTATATTTATCACAAAGTTTCGGCCTTTGTACGCTCCTGCCTTCTTCAGGTGGTTATAATGTCCAACTGAACCCTTTATTTCGCTCGCTGGAGTAGACTGCGCTAGTTCCACGTGCCACGTCTAATGGATGTCAGTTATCAGTTATCTCCTGTTAATTCATCTCTCCAAGTTCTCCATTCCCTTAACCAGGTATTGAACTCACACTATCACTGGATATAACCAACGTCTTTATCCACTGTGCCATGTATCCTCATGGCCACAAAGATGAAAACAATAGTCCGAATAATGTAAATACTGTATATAATACGTAATCTCAGTAATATAGACCGGTAGAACTCTTTTTTAGCCTTCCTGCTTTCATTTCGACTACGATGTTCAAATATTTAATTGCATTGTCAACTGTCAACTCCTGTCTCCATGGTTTTTCTTTTAATGTCTTGTCTGTTCTTTTCACTCTCAGTAACCGACTCAGCCACAAAGGAGCGTTCTGTAGGCAATGTTGAATTTACTGCTTATAAACTTCAATCTTCTATGAATCTCGTATATTCATAACTGCTCTGGCGTATCAAATGTAAACAAATGACGTCATATATTAAGAAATGGACAAAGTCCGACAATTTATTTATTAAAGACTTTTTTTTTATGTTTAACGTTCTTTTTTATAGATACAAGTATTTAAGTAAATGCTCTGTTTATAATAAACAATATTAAATGACATCGGTTAAGGCTAAGGCACGTCAGCGTGAATGACGGTTCCGTATAGGATGCAGGTTCGAATCCTGTCAAAGGACGAATATTTTCTATGAAAATTTCTCGGACATTCAGGCCGGTAAATGTTATTTAATACTATTTATTATAAACAGAGCATTTACTTAAATACTTGTATCTATAAAAAAGAACGTTAAACATAAAAAAAGTCTTTAATAAATAAATTGTCGGATTTGTCCATTTCTTAATATATATATATAATACAGTGTTGTAACATAGGAAGGGTTACTGAATGGGGAATAACCAAAGCGGAGGTTGGAAATAAAATAGAAAATTTTATAGCATCAACGAAATACAATCAATATATATATATATATATATATATATATATATATATATATATATATATATATATATATATATATAAAATATATATAAATATATATATATATATAAATTGCACATCGTGTTTCAAAGGGAAATATCTCATCAGGCTTTGTATATGACTGGCTAGTGAACGAATTATTTAGATTTAAAAGCAAACACTACCTCTTTTTACGTAAAAAAGAACTCAAAAGTTTGTTTGCTTTACTCTGATCCACCAATCAAACATGACCTACGTTAAATTTAAACTAAGCGAAAAGAAAAAATTAAAAAAAATATTAGATTGGCAGCTAAGTTTCATGCACAATGCAATTGACATATGAAATATTATGGATCATGTGCACTTAATGTTTTACTGGGATTTTGAAATGGAAAAGGTATATATATATATATATATATATATATATATATATATATATATATTTATGAATAAATGACAATAGGAAAACAGGTAATTGCTGACGCGTTTCGTCCAATGTGGACTTTATCAAAGCAATTTGTTCGTCAAATGGGACTTTATCAAAAGCAAATTTGCTTTGATAAAGTCCACATTGGACGAAACGCGTCAGCAATTACCAGTTTTCCTATTGTCATATTTATTCATAAATATTGTCTTCTCTACCGGTTAAATCGGAGAAATTTTTCATATATATATATATATATATATATATATATATATATATATGAACGCTAGCAACCTTAATAAATGCAACAGTTTTTTTATGAAAATTTAGAATAAGGGCATTTTCTCTACAATGTTCAAAGGAAAATCGATTGAAACTTCGCGTAACCATTTCTTTCATCTTGTGCAATAAGGAGGCGTTTAATTTAGATATCGTCCGAGAAAGAGCCGAGTATCGTTAAATAAGTTTTCGTATTTTCTTTTCTTTTGCTACCAAATTAATTTACAAAATAATTAAAATTTACTTCTATCCTTTAAATAGTAATTGCCTTTGTAGTGCTGCAGCTCGATCGAGACAACAGGTTCGTTCCCAGTGCACAGCTTTTTCGTTTCAAACACTTGTGGTTTACAAAATAACTATTTAGCCACATGTTTAGCCCCGAGATTAAATCATCAGACGAAAATGTAGCATTAGGAAAAAAATTATTCGGCTGTAAGCTTCTGTTGTAGACGGGCGACTTGAGATGAGTGTGGTTAAGTATAGTTGGGGGTTAGTTGACGGAGTGATCCGTCTAACTTGTATTCCTTTTCGTCTCATGGTGCGGGGTCCCTTGTGCCTCTATGTGCCTCCCTCTGTCTTTTGCTGTTGGGAACTACTGTCTTATAGAGAACATTTTTTGTGTTTTGCCTTCCCACCAAATTTGCTGTTTTCCGCGATACGCTACGCGGTTCCTTCCGCCCTCTGGTATTACGGCAATCAATAAATGTATTTCTATATCTCTCTTCCACGTTTGATATATTTTCTGTTGCCCATCACACTTTTTGATATTCGAAAATGAGATGACAGTGAACCCCACATCTAATATTATAATTTCATTCTTTACGTGAGAGGGTGCAAACATTTAGGGGTTCGTGACAGAAAAAAGAAAGAAAAATAAAACAAATCAGGTATTTCGTGGGGATTTTTATTTTTGCACGGCCATCTTGTCACGGTTGTGGTCGCCGAATCGTTGATTGATTTTGGTCACGGCGCCAATAATTCAGGCTTGTAATGTTGCAACTCAGACCAGACAACTCAGGGAAGAGCTTCCTCTAGTCAAAGTCTCAAAAAATAACCCAGATCGTTACTTACGAAATAAAGCCATGAGACAAGATTGTAGCAGTAGGAATTTTTTTTTTTTTGTGTTGTAGACCAGCGGTCGGAGGGGAAGAGACGAGCGATCTAATCGGCGTCTGACCGGATGCTTTTCTTTTCGCGTTGCAGCATACGATCGTCTGTTTTCGCTTGCTAGTGACTGTTGTCTTATGGCGGGCAAACGTTCTATGTTCTGTCATCTTTTATCTAAAAAAAAAACAAACTAAAAAACATTGAAGTCCTCAGTGTATGTCTTCACGCCTGTGATCTGCTTTTTCTGCATTATTTGATAAGGTTCTTATAAAATCTGCTTAACTTAGCTGATAATTGTTTAGACAATAACCGTCGAAACAATATCTATAACATATGAAACAATCGGACATGCACAGATGAAATACGTTATAACGACATGATATTTGAACTGTCGAAACAATATCTCTAACATGATTTAGATCTTTGTTTCAAGTCATGTGACACTAATATCGCTACAATCTTCCGATCTTTAAATCTGCTTCGTTAATATGTAACATTATGATCATGAATTGAAGGAAAATAATTTTAAGTTTACGGAATATAGTTAGAAAACAAATTATCTTGTTTTCTTCGAATAAATTGCCGACAAGAATTATTGGAAAGGCATAGTCTTTCTGAAATATCAAACAGTTCACCGACCTAAGTTGAATAAAAATAAGAGAAAATAAATCGCACAGATTTGAAAACAATTATGTCGTGTATCAGGATTATACATGGGAATATTTTTTGAATAAAAGATTAATTGGAAATCGGGTTTCAAATTGCAGTCGGTTTTGTTACATTTATTTAAACGGAAATGACCTTTCGAAAGTTATGAATCGACCTCCCTACCGACGGCGTATATATATATATATATATATATATATATATATATATATATATATATGTGTGTGTGTGTGTGTGTGTGTGAAAATATATAAAAAATAGGAAGGAACTGGTTAGGTAAATAATCCAAAGTCCCTTAGTATTTTAGTTATTATTTTTAAAAAAGAGTGCTCGATACAAAAGTAGAGCATAAATATAATTATTTATTTAAAAATATGATTCCAAATCGCGACATAAGAAGTCCCATGTTTCAAAACAAGAGCCGAAAACTTCAATATTCATATTTTTAAATAAATAATTATATATATATATATATATATATATATATATATATATATATATATATATATGTAGCAGATCGTCGACTTTTGACAGCCCATGTCAGCAGCGATCTTGGCGTAGCTCTGGCTTCCATCATTGTCAACTGTCTCTTTGACGGCGGCGACGAACTCGTCGTTACTAATGGCCGAAGAACGAATGTTGTGGCCCTTTCGATTGGCAGTAAACTCGTCCTTGTTCTCACATGCATTCCACTTCCGCCAAATGTCCATGACCATGGTCCTCTTGAACCCAAACCAGGCCATCACTTCCGCAGGCTTCTTCCCGACGCAAAAAGAAGCCACTACAGCTGCTCTGCGCTCATATTCCATCCTGGAAAAGGGTAGAGAGAAAAACATTATTTAGTCGTCAAACTGTCGGGTATCTGCATAGACAACTTTTGTTTTTATTGCCTATTTCGTTTTTTTTTGTCCAGTATAAGATTTGGCTGCAACACCCTGTATATATATATATATATATATATATATATATATATATATATATATATATATATATATATATATGTGTGTGTGTGTGTGTGTGTGTGTGTGTGTGTGTGTGTGTGTATTACAGGTAATAATCCTTGTGTTAAATAATGCTAGTGGATCCTAATAATGAAAAAAAATAACAGAATGACACACAAAAAGAGCTCAATATATTTATTATAACAGAGCACAACAGAGAAGCCAAAATAACCGCAAGAGCATAGTCTATTTCAGCTGCTGCCAAGTGCGTCAGTCTTATTCATCCAAGGCGCTGGGCTGTGTTCAGTGTCGGAACTAGAAATTACTCATTAAGTCATATTACATTTCTCTGTTGTGCAAATTAATATATATATATATATATATATATATATATATATATATATATATATATATATATATATAAATATAACTATACCGCCTCGAAAAATCTTCCTGACGATCCGCTTAGGTGAAACCTGGGTAGGTTAGTCTGGCTCACTAAGTTTGACTATATATATATATATATATATATATATATATATATATATATATATATATTGTAGACCTAAATGGAATGCCCGATTACCCTCGTTTTTCATTACACATCCAGAGAACAGGAAGCGTATTTGATAACTGATATCTCTAAGCTTTTATCTAACACAGTATTGATCTGTTTCGATATGCTTTACTTAGATGATTGGTTCTTGTTTAATGACCCAAGATTTAAAAAAAAATATCATGAAAGCTTATCATTATTCAGATGGGTTAGTGCTTCGGGCCATCCTATACTGCAGGCAAGTTGTGACCTTATGCAAGGCTGAACAAAGCACATTAATTAAACTGATCAGTATGGGCGTTGCATATCTTTGCTGATCAGTGAACAGAAGGTGCTTCCAATAAGACTTTTCATTAGGTATGTGTGCGGGACTATATACGTTAGTATTTGTACGTGTGTTGGTTCATGTTCATGTGTGCCGTGTACGTAGGGATGGAAAGAACAAAGTGATACACTAAGTATGAGAGAGGAAGCAAATAAAAAGGAGTTAAGAAAGGCAAAATGAAAGGGAAAAGGAAAACTGAAAATAGAAATAAATAAATAAATAAATAAATAAAGAAAGAAAGAAAGAAAGAAAGAAAGGGGACACAGATGAAACGAAGGAACATAAAGACTTGGAACATAAGTAAAACTAACGCAAGAGAGAAAGGGAGCGAAATTAAGAAGGTAATTAAAAAGAATGAGGAAGGAAAAGGCACTGAAATAACAAATCAAAGAACAAAAGAAAGAAAGAAAGAAAGAAAGAAAGAAAGAAAGAAAGAAAGAAAGAAAAAATATGGGAGACAAAACAATTATCCAACAAAGAAAGAAAGAAAACAGAAAGAAAGAAAAATATGGAAGACAAAAACAACTAATCCAAAAAAGAAAGAAAGAAAACAGAAAGAAAGTCTAATATGGAAGACAAAACCAACTAACCCAAAAAAGAAAGAAAGTAAACAGAAAGAAAGAATGAAACTATATGAAAGACATAAACAACTATGCAAAAAAGAAACAAAGAAACAGAAAGAAAGGAAAAAAAAAATATAAAAGACAAAACAAGCATCCAAACAAGAAAGAAAGAAAACAGAAAAAAAGAAAAATTATGGAAGACAAAACAACTATCCAAAAAAGAAAGTAAGAAAACAGAAAAAAGAAAGAAAAAAGAAAGAAAAAAATATGGAAGGCAAAACAACTAATCCAAGAAAGAAAGAAAACAGAAAAAAAGAAAAATTATGGAAAACAAAACAACTATCCAAAAAAGAAAGAAAGAAAACTGAAAAAAGAAAGAAAGAAATATGGAATACAAAAACAAATAACAAAAGAAAGAAAGAAAGGAAAAGAAAGAAAGAGATATGGAACACAAAAACAACTAATGAAAGAAAGGCAGGAACAAAGTAATATGCATAGAAAGGAAAAAGAAAAAAAAAGAAAGCTCGGTGAATGTGTCGAAAATAACGTATGATTAGAATATGACGAAAAAGGCAAAAAAAACAAGAAGAAAAGTAGGAAGAAAGAAAAGTAGAGAAATTAAATAAATAAATACATAAACAAAGGAAAAGGAAGGAATGAAAAAAGAAAAGTAATAATCGAAGTCAAAACAATAGTCGTGAAAGTAAATTCGAAATTTGCGTCATCAGCAAAATTGCAAAATCTTATAAGGAAAAAAAAAACATTGCTCCGAAGAATTTTACAATCGAAAAGAAAAAGAAGAAAAAAATTAGATATAAAATACACGAAAAGCTAATCATTGGAAGAAAAAAGAAAAACGTATATCGTAAACAGAAATAACTAAGCAAAAAAGAAAGAAAAGAAAGAAAGATGAACGGAAATAAAAATACAAAACTGAAGGAAAAAAGGTCGAAATTCAAATATGAATTACAAATTGAGAAAAGAAAGAAAAGAAAGGAAATAAGGAAGCAACAACGGAAGAGAAAAGAAACAAAGAATGAAAGAAGTATATAAAGAAAGAAAAAGATGGAAAGAAAAATAAGTGAATCAAAATCGAGAAAAAAATAGAGAAAAGCATGAAAAAAAAAATGATTAAGGATACAAAAAACTGGCTGCGAAAAAAATCGAAAATTGCGAAAATCAGCAAAATGGCAAAACCATTTCAAGTTAAAAAAAAAATCCGCTCACGAAGAATCATACAAGCGAGAAGGGAAGAAAGGAAAGAAATTAGATATAAAATACCCCAAAAAACTAATCATTGAAAGAAAAAAGAAAGACGTATATGGAGAAAAAAAAAACAAAAAAAACTAAGCAACGGAAGAAAAGAAAGAAAGATTAACAGAAATAAAGATAGAAAACTAGGAAAAAAGAAAAACTGAAAGAAAGAAGTTCGAAATTCACAAATGAATTAGAAATGGTGAAAAGAAAAAAAAAGAAAGAAAAAGAGAAGCAACCTATTAAGAGAAAAGAAACAAATAATGAAATAAATATATAATGAAAGAAAATGAGAAAAACGAAATCGTAAAAAGAAAAAAAAAATTGAAAAAGAGCTCGAAGAAAATGGAGCATTAGGGATACAAAAATTCATTAAAAGGAAAAAAAAATGGGGCGAAATATCGAAATTTGCTTCATCAGCAAAATGTCAAAAACATTTCAAAATGAAAAAAATAATTGCGCTCGGGAAGAATTTTACAATATTTTCTAAAAAAAAAACGGCCATTTCATATTTCAAAAGAAACGAAGACATAATTCATTTGCAAAAAGAAAAACTACTGTCATGTCAAATATCATTCTGTTGTTAGGTAATTTCAATCCACTGATGTTTTTTCTTGGTCATTCAATAAATACGTTAAAGTAGGGCGCCATCTTCAAATATAAGCACGGTCAACAGCGTAAATAAATCGATACAAATAAAATTAAATCGCTTTATTTATCTCATGTTATCGATTTAAAAATAAAATCTTGATATTATCTCTTTAATTGGAAGAAGAACATTCATGCAAGGAAAGCGTTTTGAATACTAATTATAGATGCCATTGAAATTATATTCTTTTTGAATGCGCTTGCAACATAGCCATCTGCAAAACACAGACTATTCTTCTTTCAAATAAACAAGTTATTTCGCTATTAACCACAACAAAACAGTGAAAAATATTAAAATTTCAAATCTTTACAAATATAATGAACATTCTATATGCTGTGCTCTTTCAAGACGTGGGCGATCGTGACTCTCCACATCTTCACATTCTTTAGAAGCGTTTTCCCTTTGGCAAAACTTCCATCGCTCGTTTCCACATCTATTCACAAATTTTCGTCAAGTAGATAATCCGTTACCTTACCCCGTCTCTTTGCCCTCGATATGTCCTGTGAATGTTAAGTTTTCCAAGCCGTCTTTCCTCATTATGTGTCCAGAAAAATATCACCTGTCTATTGACGATTCTCAGCATAACTGTTCGTTTTGTTACCTTTTTCTTTATGATTTACTCGTTTCTTATTCGCCGTCCATTGAAGTCTCAGTATCCTTCTGTAGAGCCACATTTCTGCTGTCTTCAGTTTCCCCTTCATCTGTGGTGAGGGCATCTAGCATTCAATTTCATAATAGAGGATTGTGATCGCACAGCAATCAAGCATATTTTCTTTATCTCTACCGAAATTTTCCTTTTCCTTAGTACGTTGCTTAGATTTTGAAAAGCATCTTTGTCGGATGAACATTTTTGGAAGTCTTCCTCTGTTACTCCTGATTTTATGAACTTTGTGGAAGCCTCTGACACCTCAAATCATCTCTGTATTGCTTTTTGGCAAAGTAATCGAAGCTCTAATCAATGTCTAATTGTTTAAGCATCCTATTTTATTTGTTTTATGAACCTTCGCGCAGAACTCTTCATTGCCAATTCAAGAAAAGAAATTCGGATTACTAACACAGAAAATGTCTCATATCGAGAATATTTAACATTGAAAAACAAAAGAAAAATTTAATTATTTTTAATAATATGTGGAAATCTCCGCTTTTACCTGAAGACGGTCACGAGACGAGAAACCCGTGTAGTAAAATTATGGAAAATAAAGCATAATATTTTTTCTAAATAAATGCACATTACAACCAAAAACGTTTTCGGCACCTCTTTTCTCTTCTTTTTAATACACATACTTTTCTCTCGTTGGAACCACTACAACCTCTTTCTTTTATATATATATATATATATATATATATATATATATATATATATAGAGAGACAGAGACAAAGACAGAGAGAAAGTGAGAGAGAGTGACACTAAAGAGCAGTCTGATTTATATATGTGCGTTTGGATATTCTTTCCTTTTTAGATTGTGAATCAAATCTAATTATCATTGGAAGAAACCAAATAATGAATGAGGACCTTTAATAGAACAGAAAAGCAAGAGCCATTCCATACTCAGTTTCCAATTGAATAACATACACGCAATTTAGCGTGAAACGCTGGGTTTCCATTCAAACACGAAGAATTCTACCATTGTATTCAGCATATATTTTGTTTCGCTATGCTGAGTCTGGAACTTTATATATATATATATATATATATATATATATATATATATATATATATATATATATATATATTTCAAAAATTTCACCTGTAAAAGAAGACAATATATATAAAGACATTAGAGAAACTGTAATATTAGCCTACGCATTACGTCTAATGAGGATATTTTCAAGGAAAAATGAAATGAATTTATTGAAAACAAAGTGACTATTGGTAACAAACAAAATTTCCTTAGCAACTAGAAGAATTTAGAAAATGCTATTGTATTCATATTGTCAACTCAACATTACGTCGGTTATTTTCACGTGTAGAATTATTGTTTTTATTGTTGTGTTGACGATTTCAACCATTTTCTTTTGATTTCTTGATACAGTTGTGTAGGTTGGCTTGGGATAGTAGTAATTCTGTTAATTCTTGAAAAACCCTAGGGTAGATTAATATTTGGATAACTTTCAATGGCGGCACTCTCGAGGATTTTCCTTCTGAGTGAGTTATTTTCTTTTTTATGAGTGTAGCATTTTTAAAATTGTCGTTGAATTTATTTGTATGTATGACTAGTGCATTAGTTAAGTTGTTTTTTGTTAAGTCTCTTTTTTGCTCAAAGATGCTGTTTTTTTTAATTTTTGCTTGTTAGTGCAATATTGTGGGAGGCACGGTTTTGGCAATTTATTTTATAACTGTCTTCCCCAGAAATATTGCTATTAGTGTTTGAGGATCTGATTACATCCATAATGGTTTTGTAAATAATAATTTAGATAGGATAGGTTGTTCCGGATAGTGGCGATGACTATATATATTTCTACACGTGATAATACTTGACGTAATTTTCAGTTGACAATGTGAATACAATAGCGTTGTCTAAATTCTTCCACTTGCTAAGGACATTTTGTTTTTTGTTATTATTAGTTACTTTGATTAATAAATCAATTTTGTTTTTTGCCTTGAGAACTATTACTGTTTTCCTATTGTCATTTATGTTTATAAATATTGTCTTTTCTACAGGTTAATTCAAGAAAATTTTCATACATACATACATACATACATATATATATATATATATATATATATATATATATATATATATATATATATATATGTATATTTAAGCACATATTTTCATTCAAACAGGATTGGTCAAATTATTAATTTTCTTTTTTCAGATTGCGGGTTAATTTCTTGATAGACTTAGAGAACTCGTTAATAAAAATACCAGAATTTTCTTAACAATTAGATTTTATTTTCCAAAGTATTTTCAGTCTCTGGAGGTTAAGTTGCATGTTAGTATGTAGACGTGTTTCGGTAAATTGAAAAATTCCAACTGTTTTTAAAGTTTATGCAGCGTTAGATTTCAAAGCTCAAAGTTCACATTTTTTTTAAAACCCACAAATATAACAATTTATTCAAAGCATCCTGTATCTCTGTAACTGTGTCGTTGGTGGATGAGGCAACGAGAACGACATATCTTTTTATCTCCCGCGTTTTTGACCCTCTTTCTACTCTATGAAAGCGATAAAGCCAATATGTTACATGGGATTACTTTCAGTGAAATTATCTGAGCAAACGATCTTGAGAAGAAGGGCAAAAACAGGATTCAAGGTAACTGATGATTGCCGTTACATTTACATTTTCATCATTATGGCGTGTTGAAATGTGAAGCAGTATTTTTAAAGGTGATCCCTTATGGGTCTCTAAAAATATGTTTTCAAATACCTGACCCAGGTTATATATATATATATATATATATATATATATATATATATATATATATATATATATATATTTTTTACTTTTTAGTGGATGTCGAAATTTGAGTAGATTAAGAGCTTATTCATTACTTTGATCCACTATAATAAGATTAAAGTATAAAATAAATAAAAAAAAAACTGTTTAATAAATAAACAGATCGTCAACTTAAGTATGGGCATCCTCTAAAAATAAGGTTTAAGTAATAAAGTATATCAGATTAATTAATGAAACATCCTCAAGCAATATATATATATATATATATATATATATATATATATATATATATATATATATATATATGTCTGGTCCTTACACCCCTTTCTAACTACTACGTATTGTCATAAAAATAAATTTAAAATCATTCCTCTCTCTCTCTTCCCTCTCTAATTTCGACCATGTCTCACACACTATCTCTCATCACCCTCTATATCATCTTACCTCAACTTAATTCTACCCATCAAATGTGTAAAAATTATATGTAAATTTAAATTCATTTTTTCATTCTTCTTAGTGAAGTCTGATGATTCAGGGAAGAAGAAACTCCCTGGGGAAATAAATTATGACAATTGACCCTTAAAGTTGTTTGTCTTCATTATATATATATATATATATATATATATATATATATATATATATATATATATAAAGCGGACATTGAATCAACACCCACAGGAGAGTGTCTGTTTCAATATCCACTTTTATATTTAAATAAGTTAGAGCAAAACTTCAAAGGGTATGTTTTTTCAAATGCCAGGTGTAACACCAAAATTGTTCAATTGTTAGATTAATCTCTGTACCGTTGTATCTTCGAAATGATTAAAGATATCTTACCGCAATTCTCCGAGAAGAACAATGCACCTTACACGTCTTTGAAATGTCTGATCTGAAACTCCATGAGTGACTCACTCTACACCTTTCTGACCATAGCTCAATTAGATCTCATTTAAATATTCATGGAGACCTACCGGACACTAATCGTATCATAATTGTTGACAAAACAAATATAATAGCATCATCTACATGCAAAAAATGGCTAAAAATAATGGAAGACTTATTAATAAAAAAAAAAAAAACAACACTTAATAATACTAACTTTGAACATGGACACATATATCTTGACCGTGTTTTAAAAATTGAAAACATTTAAAAAAAAAAAAAACATACATACAATGAACTATTTCTTATTTAACAGTTAAAATATTTAAACCTTGAAAATGGCTAAATGCGTAGCCGAAAGCGCTCGGATAAAAAGAATATTCGGACATTTTTTATATAATTTATCATCCGAAAAGAAACAA